TACTGGAAAAATGTTAATAATGGTACTTGGAAGCGTCCGGAATTATCCACGAGGAATCGGTTCAGGAACGCGGTCCGCGGAATGAATTTTGGAGGTCGGAAACTCCCAAAAAAGCTCTCGGAGCGAGACATGGTGGCCACCACCAGCTACGGCGGCGCCGGCCGCCGGACACGGCGGCTCCTACCGCCTAGCATGGGCGGCACCTGTCGCCCCACCGCCTGGGCGGCACCTGCCGCCCCACCGACTGGGCGGCCCCTACCGCCCAGCATGGGCGGCACCTGCCCCCCCACCGACTAGGCGGCACCTGCCGCCCTCCCAGGCGGCAGCTACCGCCGAGCCAGGCGGCACCTGCCGCCCTGGACCCGAAAATGGCCTATAAGTCCAATTTTGGCACCCCTGTCTGTGTTGACGGACGAATTTTTATTGCTTTTTATTGTCGGATATTTGGACATTAAAATTAAACAAATTAAACATTAATTTAATATTTCCTCAAGCGAGGAGCTTAATCGTTAAGAAGCGGTCGTCGATTGAAATCAGGTATAATGTAAACAAACTCTGCCTATTTTAATTTTAGCAACTTCCATGCATATTTTCTCTTCTACTCTTAATAATTCACAATTGCATAATGACATCGTCACGTCATTCTTTTTGGTAATAAACTGCCTTAATTAATTTGATTAAGTATTAAATGGCCCGCGGTTTTAATCAACTAATCCGCCTCGGTCACTTCCAAGTTTATCCGACAATATTGGCTAAAAAGAGCCTAGTTATCAATACACTAGGTTCAAATGGCCTTTATTATTCGAACAAATCCGGCTTAAGGTTGCCAATTAATCATAATTAGGTGGCTAAAAAGCCTTAATCAATCACGTCTGACAATAAATTGTGACATTAAGCTCGAACGCCCGATTAATTCGATTAATCGTGGATTAAAGCCTCAAATTCGCACATTTTGGCAAACTAGATTGCCTAAGACACACATTTTTGGCCAACAGGCCATTAAAACCAACCATTTTGGCGAATATCGCCACTTGTCAAAGAGATAGCACAATTTTTGGGCAAATCTCAGAATTGTCTAAAACAACAGCCGTATTTGGCCTAATCGTGTAGCGAAGGGCCTAAATCAACACATTTCTCAGCAACAAATCGCTTAAATCAAATATTCGTTTTGGCAAGTATGCACTGTGAAAAAGCAACATTTTCGCTTAAAACGTAAAATCCAACGCATGTTTGACGCCGACAATCGCTAGATTCGCACATTTTTGGCACAACTGCTAAATCAAATTCATTTTGGCTAAAGCATTAAAATCACGATTATTTGGCAACATGCTGCAAAACTCATCACCATCTTTGGCGAACATGCCTAAACAAATGCTCACAAGCCATGACAACACTCAGTGCACGAAGCATACACACAAATCATGCCACAAAGCATAACAACACAATAATGCCTCAAAGCATACACACAAAATGCACAAAGCATACACACGAAATGCAACAAAAGCATAACATGACACTATGCAACAAAGCATACACCAACTCATGCACAAAGCATACACCACTCATGCAATTAAGCATGACCCCTTCAAAGCCGCTTCAAAAGAAGGCCTATCGCACTACGTTTGAACCCTTTGCTCTTCGCATTCAAACGGAAGTACGTAAGGCAGTTCCGGTCGATTTCACCCGCGGGTGGCAAGTCAAAATCATCCATTAACATTTCAATTTTCCATTCGATATTACGCTTGGCAGATAGGTTCATCTCATTTGCACTCTGGCTTAGATGTCTTCATCGGATGACATAGTCTGCGGGTATCCATGCTCGGGGTTCGTAGATTGTGCTTAAATGCATTGCAGATACATTAATCTAGTAACTAGGTATAATTAAAATGGAGAGTCACCTTAGGGTTTTTTCCTAGTTTTACCTTAAAAAATATTAAACAAGGGTGGCGACTCACACACATCGATGTGTATTTCTTCTCTCATTCATCACAAGGTGGCGACTCACACACATCACGTGTATTTCTTCTCATTCATCATATGCATCACATGCCTATGACATTTGGGGAAGGGGTTCACACATAGTAGTCAATCCAAATGATCACACCCAGATGACACCACATCTACTTCAAATCCTCCATTCGTAACAGATCCACAAGTGGCAAAAGCCTTAGCAAAAGTCTATAACAATTTTGCATCAATTTTGGAGCGATTTATGCACTTTCAGTCTTCGTCTTAACCTTCCTAGCACCACAACTATTCATTAAGAAATGGGAAGTGAGTTGGTATATAAGAAGAGGAAGAGCAAGCATATATGGCATAAGAAATTGAGCCGTCTTGGAGGATAGGAACAACACACATCAAGAACACTACAAATGTTCCAAATGAGGTGAGCGAAGAAAACTTTCGAGCAAGAACCAGAGAGATCAGAGAGACCCTTAATATAGGGTGACAGGAGATAGTAGTGATTATGGACTCAGAAATGACTCTCCATTATTACAGGAGGTGTTGACCGTATTTTTTCCATCAAAATTCAAGATGCCAGCATTTCAAAGATACGATGGCACGACAGATCCTAGAAGTCACCTAGCTATCTTCAGGACAATAATGCACATTCAAACAGCTACATATGCTTTATTATGCTGAGCGTTTTCAGCAACTTTGAAAGGACTAGCATAGGAGTGCTACCAAATGCTCAAAACAGGATCACTCAACTAAGTTCTACCTTCAAAGCTCTGTTTGTCACATGCATCCCGAGCAAATAGATCTCATTAGACCTGATTAATCTAAAAGTGGATTATGGAGAATCGCTCAAAGAGTACCTTATAAATTCCAGAAATTGGCTATGCAAATTGAGGACCTAAATGCAGAAGTGCCCATTAACGCCATGTCAAAAAATTGTAAGCATGAAAAATTGTTTGATTCCATTAATATTGACCATCCGCTTTTTTTTTTGCAGAATTAATGTCCCGAACAAACAACCATGCTCGGCTAGATGAGGCTTGGAAAATCCAATAAGCATAGACTAAAGCTCTACAGGAAAGGAAGAAGGACGATTCCGTAAAAAGACAATCACCCACAAGATTCAGTAGACCACACTTTGCTCAGACAAATACAAATCCAGAACACCATATTCCCAAGCAGAAGATGTTGAGGAAAAATATTCACCAAAAAAGAATAAAGAAGTTACTTATTACAATTGATCATCCAAATTATACTAACTTTTAAACAAAAAGGAAATAAAAGTAAAGAGCAAAATGGCAAAAGCTCTAAAATTAGTGCGCAACATTTAAAATCGTCAGCCTAAGTAAACTCAAGATAAAAATGAGTTAGAGAACTCAAAATCAAAGGCCTTGAGAAAAAGAAATATGAAATTTCATTAGAGAAAATATATATATATACCCTTCAACTTGGGGGAACATCAGAAATGACTATATTAGAGTCATTCTCTTGCCCAGCTTAATCTTGACCCAGCTCTTGTTCATTCTGATCTGATCCTACTCAAAAATCAAGCTCCAATTTATTGATAGTGTCAGCCACTTCTTTTTATACAAACTTCTTTTCGTACAAGCTCTAAGTCACTTTTCTACTAATCATAATCACATCTTAGTCCATCTCTTTATTGCTCAGCAGTCTGCTTAGCTAGCTCCAAAAGTCACATCCATTAAAGGAGAGGCTTGAATTGACGACTGGAACTAAAAAGGTGTATAACTTCTCAAAAAAGCAATTGACAATTAGGACACACGTGGAAGAGTTACAAGTTATCGGCCAAAATAGATTAAGAGGGGTCGATTTAAAAGAGAGCTTCTAAAAGAGAATAAGAAAATGGAATGAATAAGCATGTTAAAGATTTCAACCGAACATAAATGATTCGGTATATTTTAGGGAGGACTTTTGATAGAGCAATTAATAAAATTGACCAAGCAATTAATAAAATGGATTGACCGTTATTCAAATCAATCCAAATAAAGATAACACTCGGTCAAAAAGTCACTAAGAGTCATTTAACCATGTAATTAATGTTCATGATTCTTGCTCGATATTTATAACTGGGATCCTTGCTCGGCATTTATTCTATCGATTAGAATAAAAAAGATACTATAAATTGTTATATCTCATCCCATTAGAGGGCATGATATCTAATAGCAATTTTTGAATATTTCTCTCTTTACTTCTATTAGGAAGGAAATATGTTTCAATATAGATATTCAAGATAGAGCATTAGTCTATTAAAGGGAGAATTATCTTATTCAATGACTTAATTCAATTATTAAAGTGATTAGAGCACCTTTAAAATCATATGGAGAACTTAATTTAAGATCGAAAATTTTAGATTAGGTTTTGCTTAAGTGGTAATAAATGTTTATATTCAAACTACTTTTTTCTTTTTATTTTGGAAGGAAAACGTACAACTTTCATTAAATCAAATTATCACAAATCAAATCCGAAATAAATAGAGAAAGGACAAGACCTCACTCTTTAAAATAAGACATAAAATAAATAGAAATTGCTAAGAGATGAATAATTTTATTGGCTAATCTTTTTATAAAAACAATAAAGCTATTAGAAATCTCCGTAAGAAGAAACTTACAATCCATAATAATATTACCAAAGTAAGAATGGTCAACACTTTTCTTATAAATAGCTTGAATCAAAAGAAGTAAATCCGATTTAAAATAACTTGCTGCAACCGAAGTCTCATGGCCCAGCTTAAGGCTTCTCGGACTGAGACAGCTTCCACTACAGATGGATTATGGGGAGCAATTCCATATAGAGTATTGAAATTTCTAGTCCAATTAAAACTTGTATGCCATTAAGCATCATTTGTTCTCACTTTTATTAAAAATATGGAGAGCGGGAGATAATGGGTTTAAGACATTTCAACCACAAAATTTTTCACCGTTACCATGCCAACCTACATGTAATTGAAGTTGAAATGTACAAAAGAATTGAATATAAAATGTAGAGAAGAATCTTATAATTACAGGGATGAAACAAGGATCTAAAATAAAAGAAATAAGAGAATAACAATTCAACCAGAAATGATAATTCTATTAAGGGTAATTACATAATACCAGAAAAACAAAGTTGAACGCATTTTATCACAAATCCTTACTTTCTAGCAGCTTCTTCTCCACCAAGCACCAATTTCTAGCACTTGTCACCCATGAATACTAAGTTTGAGAAGCTTCTCTAACCATGGTTCAGAGGCTTCAAAATCACAGTACAAAGCCAAGAAATAATATCTGGCTTGTCAACATAACTAATTAAGCAATTACAAAAGTATCGATTCAACTAATATTTGGTCATCAAAGAAAGATCATAAGTTACCGTACAGGTTAATTAAAGTTCATCATTAGCAGAAGAAGATGAAGATGGGTCTTCCTCCTTTTCTACGAAATTTTTCCAACATGCTTTTGATGAGCTTAAACTATCCAACCAGACCTCATCAGCTTCAAAAGAATCAGAATCATCGTTGCGTTGCCATGACCAGTGCGCATGCTCATTATCCAATATTCTGAATCTTCCATGCCCAAAGCTTGGTTCCCGAAATAGAGAGAGAGGAGAAGCTGGATTCTCAAACCTTCATTTCATTTCACATGAAACAGAGACTCAGAACATTTATGCAGTTGAGAGAAAACTTAACACAAATCTTTATAATCAGTTGGCACAAAATATAATAGTTGGAAACAAAACTTAATAGGGATGATCACAAGTTGGTACGAGTCGGATTTTTAAACCATGAAAAAAAGAAACAAGTATTATACTTCTTAATCAAAATATTTATATTATATTTATGCATAACAATATAAATAATCTACATATTTAGTCTTAAGAGAATTTGTTAATATCATTGGACAAGGTCATCAGTCCCATTCGGATCAAAACCAAATCAATTTTTAGTCGGATCAAAACTTAATTTGAGATTAGAGAGGAACGAGCCAGTCCCAATTTATATTTTCAGAACAAGAACCGATTGAAAATGATTAGAACAGATCAAACTAAGTCGAAACCAAAAAATCAATTTGGATCTCGATTTCAAACCTCACCAGCCAAAATTGTAGGTTCACACATAAGTGAAACTGCCAATTTAATAACCAATATATATTATTGATACTTTTTTTTTTTTCTTTTTTAGAAGAATTGATACTATATCTTTTAAAATATAGTCAGTTATAGGATACGTTCGGCAAAATTAACTATTCTGGTAGCCGTTAGTTATTTTAGTAGGATTTAGCTATTAATTGTTTGAGTAGCAGCTTTTTATGAAATACTAAAAAACTAAATGTTACATGAGTTAACTTTTCACAAAATACTACTATAATATCTAAAACTAGTCCAAACGTTATGTTACCGAATAATTTTTTAAAGTAGTATTTAGCGTTTTGATGAAAGCTACTTAAAATCAAATAATTTTTTAAGTAGTGTTTAGCGTTTTGACGAAAGCCATTTAAAAGCTTGTTGCCGAATACATTCATACTCATATGAATGTTGGATATTCTCCAACAATGAATTGGGCTTAATTGGGAAGGATTAGATAAATAAGGATTGACCCATCAGTGTCCCAATCTTTGCATGACCATACCCACCTAATGGCCTGAATTTATTATGAGACCATCTCTATCCAGCCCAACTAGTACTACTTTTGCCACAAATTGTTTAAGCATACACTGCCAATGGAAAATTATATAGTACATGACAAGATGCAATGTCTTAAATGAACATGGGATCCATCTTTTTCAAATTTAGATATATTTTACGGCTATACTATGCAATATGAATTATTACTTAGAACCGTATCATCTTAAGTTCCAAATTACCAAATAAACACTCCACAGTGTAAAAATATTTATATTACATGCTCTTTACATTGCAAAATATAAGTCATTTTATATATTGTTTTATGACGAAATAAAACTCATTTTTAAGTATTTTAAAAAATAATAAATGATTGTTCTTCAATGTTATGATTATTTATGTTGATATAATAATTATCTTTACAAATTATTCTTAATTTTGAGATAAATCGCAGTTTGATCAAATTACCGTTAGTTTTATTATAATTTAAGAGACTTAATTATTTTCTTAATTCTAGTGTGAAAATTTTAAATAACTTATATTTTGAGAAAAAGAGAGTAATAAAAGAAAAACTTACAATAATGCAAGCCCTTCACGATTTCCTCCATCACCTATGGTTATATAAACTGGTCCACATGGATCGGGTTTATTGTTATAAATTCGAGTCTGCAAGCAAAACAACCAAAAATATAAAATAAATAAATAATAATTAATAAAAAATAAAAAGAAGCGTAAACTTACAAATCTTTCATAAGCATGAACATGCCCAGCAAAAACCACATCAACTCTTGCTTTATACAAAATTTCTTCCATAGCTTTTCTCATTTCCTCTCCTTCTCCTTTATGGGCAGTATTGGTATTGTACCAAGGGGCATGCAATAACACAATAACCCATGGTGTCTTTTTCCTATCAATTTTTGCCAAGTCAGCATCAAGCCACGTGTACTGATCTGATTTAGCATCAAAATCCGTGTACGACCCTAACATTATAATATGAGCACCAGCAACTTCAAATGAGTAGTACAAATTTGAGGTTGAACCACTTTCTTCAAATGGCATTAGCCATCTTGCATTATAGGACTTGAACCCATGTGGATATATAATTGGGAAAATTTCAATCTCATGGTTCCCTTCGGTCACCATCCATGGCCGTTGGCTAGCATATGGCTCCACTAGCCGGCCGAATGAGTCCCACAACGGTTGTTGACTGTCCGCGTAAGATAAATCTCCGGGTAATAAAAATACATCATAGTCGCGACTTCCAACATATTCTAAAGTTGATTTAGTCCATTCTGTTTGTCCTAAATCACCTATTATTGGCCAAAAAGAAAAACTATTTCATTAAGCATTTGATTTGGTGAGGTAAATTGTTTTTTAGAAAAGAAATTAAATAAACCCTTGGATTGCAATAAATTTCTAATGGGGCTTAATGCATAAATTTGACCATGAACCTTAGTCGATTATCCTTGCTTCCTCTTGAACTTCGCATGGGTTCAATTATGATTCTACACTTTAACATTTCAATAATAACTATGCTTCTCGCTAAAATGAAATATAAAGGCAAGGGTTCAATCATGACCCTAGACTTCCGCATTTTATTTTAACTAGGGACATAATTATTATTAAAATGTGAAAATATAGAATCATAATGAGTTTTCCGCAAAGTTTCAGAGGGCAACAATGATAATTGTAGAAAGTATATGGTTAAATATGAGCAGTAGTCCTTTCTAATAGACAAACTAAGATTTTCCTATTTATAAAGCAAACATACAACATATAAAAGCTACAAATCACTAGTTGTGGCCGCCAAGTATTCCTAATTTTTAGTGTATACTCTTCATTCTTTTCCTATGTTGGGATGTTGCTTATACCTAAAGCACCAACTTCCTATAACCGACTAACCAACCAACCAACTCACGAAAAATATGCTAAAAAGCAAAGTATGCTACAAATTGCAAAAAAATGCATGAAAAAGAAAAGAACATTGCCAACAAATTAGAGAACAATATTAACCCCAACGAGTTATTTCAGTGGCAAAGAAAACTTATGGATTGATCACCATGACTTAGGTCATGGATCCGATTTTTCGCAACATAAACTCCTCCGATTGGCGCTTTGCCTCCAAAAGCAAGCGGAAATTAGTCGGGTCTATGGTCCATAAAAACAAACACCGGCTGGACAGCTTGTGAAAGTATCTACAAATTAGAGAACTATATTGAATATAATTAAAAACTTACCAACGACAGCAAATTCAATAGGAAAAAAGTCAGGAGGTGTTCTGAAAGAGAATTCAGGGCCAGAACCTCCACATCTGTAGTAATATGTAGTATTTGGTTCCAATGGACCAATCTTTACATGATGTATCCTTCCTGAACTATAAAAGAAGTAACGATATGAAGTGTTCTCTCCTGTTGCCATTTCATTATATTTCCCTGGTTCTTTTCCATATTCTACATTTGATCTGACATGTTTGTTCTCTGTAACCCAACTAACTCTCATGTGATCTTTCCCGGCCAGCGAAATATGCACCTAATGGAAAATTCGACAAGCAAAAATGATATGTATGGAAGGAAAAAAAAAAAAAGAACAAAAGGATATAAGATTATATGATTGTAAAGACTAAAGAATGAATTTAATTACAAATAACAGACCTGTTGAGGATCGGATTCGGATCGGTCATGATGAGTGAAGATAATATTACGAGCAGAAGGTCGAAAGTATGGATTTGGTGAGGCATTAGAAAGAAAGGAGGTAGCTAAGAGTAGAGATAACACAAATGGCAATAGTTTCTCCATTTTCTTCTTGTTAATATTGTTGAGCACAAGATGTTTGTGTTTATGTGTATATATATATATTTAATGGGATTGTTAAGAAGTTTGAAATAGGATTAAAAAATGACTTAAAATGGATTGCAATGGCGTCAAGTAAGTCGATTAGAATATTTTAGATACGTTTAAGTATGCAATGAAATGAACGAAAAAAAAAAATGATCTCCAATTTTCTATATATATATATACAACAGCTTAATTTTCTTGCCTTAGCCAGGCTTCCATTTAAGCTAGCTCTATCTGGCTTAGCCTGATTATTTCTGTCTCTCAGGCTTAAAGTGTTTATAGTTACTGTAAACAGTATTTTGCTAATCGTTAATAATGTTTAAGGCCACAAAAAATTGCAAAAGATTGAAAACAGTGAGAAACTCAAAAACGTTGACTTTACTGAGCTCCATCATATATATATATTTATGAAAGAGAGCCAGCCAGTCTAATTATTAAAAATATGCTTGTCCAGCCAGTCTAGGGAATCAAGTGAGCATCTAACTAATATCTTTGCGAATGGCTTTAATTCCACATTTATGTGAAACTTAACTAATAAATAATCATCGGAACAAGTAATAATTGGAATATCCTTAGAATCTTCCCTACAAAGAAAAAAGAACCTTGCAGTATTTGTTTACAAAATCTAATTTTTCACAGAAATTAATTACATAAACAATTATAAATGAAGAAAGTCTTTTGTAATACAATTAATAAATTGGAGTGTTATAAGATAATGTAATGTCTAACTCTATGTTTGAAGTTAAAGCAACAAATGAAGGGGTGCACAAATGCATGCTTGGCCAACCTGGACATTTGTTTCCTGAGGAATTTTGCAAAACTCAAAAAGTGACCATTGAGATTGAATTATTAATTTACAATGTCGGAATCTCACATTAATTAATTAATTAATTAATTAATTTGTGTTTAGGACAATATCCGACCCCACCTCATAATTTAACCCAACGATTTAAAATGCCCTTTTAAAAAATCCTGTTACTAAAATGGACGAGACATAACTTATTCTCAAAACTAATTCAGAGGATTTCCCAAATTTTATAATTTTAACTAAATACCTTATTTCAATCCAATGTAAGATAACAAACCCGATAGTGCAAAAATAAAATGGACGAGACAATATAGATACACAAGCACCGGAAGAGATGCAGAGCAAAGAACCCTACTTACTCCAATCGAAAAAATCCTTTAGCTGCTTGTCATCAGAAGTTTGCAGTTTGATTCTTTAATCTGACTTCACATCTTTAAATTTTTTTTTTTTTTAAAATGTCTTTTACAGCTACCAACTTTCATGATGTTTTCAATTTAGTTGAGGAACAGTAGATAATTATCGAATTTGGTTTATTCTTATGCATAGTGGGATTTTTACCTGCATTTTTTTTTATTATTATTTATGCATATAATATTATTTATGTGTGTTGTAATTCTTTCATAGTCGAGTGATACAGAAAGAAAATGGTTCCTAAGGACTAAAACTCGGGCCGGCTACCGAGAAGCTTAGCAAAAGGTTCGAGTGCGGCCGGCTACCGAGAAGCTTAGCAAAAGGTTCGAGTGCGAAAACGAGCGGTGCAACACGCAACAAGAGGACTTCCCAAAAGGTCACCCATCTTAGTACTACTCTCGCCCAAGCATGTTTAACTTCGGAGTTCTAATGGGATCCGGTGCATTAGTGCTGATATGATCGCACCCATCATCTCTTGCGCAATCTTTCTATTTCTCCTCTACTTCCTTACACCCGTCTCGCAATCGTCCGAGTCGCTTTTTGCATTCTCATACCTAGTATCGGTGCTGTATTTTCCCTATCGGTGTTCGGGTCTCGATTTTAAAGTTTTATCGGATTTTTTTTAACCGTCTCTTTATGCCCTTAGAAAAAATAAAATCGTGTTGTAAATTTCTTTTCCATAGTCGAGTGATAAGAGAAAAGAAATAGTTCCTTAAGACTGAGAACTCGAGCCGGCTGCCAAGTAAAGCTTGCAAAAGCTTAGCAAAAGGTTCGAGTGCGAAAACGAGGGGTGCAACACGAGGACTTCCCAAGAGGTCACCGATCTTAGTACTACTCTCGCCCAAGCACGTTCACCTTCGAAGTTCTAATGGGATCCAGCGCATTAGCGCTAGTATGATCACAGCCGTCATCTCTTGCGCAATCTTTCTATTTTTCCTCTCCTTCCTTACACCCGTCTCGCAATTGTCCGCGCTGCTTTTTGCATTCTCATACCTAGTATCAGTGCTGTATTTCCTCTATCGGTGTTCAGGTCTCGATTTAAATTTTATTTTTTTTTACCTCTCTTTATCCCTCGAAAAAATAAATGCATGTTGTAATTCTTTCATAGTCGAGTGATAGAGAAAGAAAATGGTTCCTAAGGACTAAAACTCGAGCCGGCTGCACAGAAGCTTAGCAAAAGGTTCGAGTGCGAAAACCAAAAGGTTCGAGTGCGAAAACAAGGGGTGCAACCGAGGACTTCCCAAGAGGTCACCCATCTTAGTACTACTCTCGCCCAAGCACGTTTAGCTTTAGACTTCTGATGGGATCCGGTGCATTAGTGCTGGTATGATCGCACCCGTCATCTCTTGCGCAATCTTTCTATTTCTCCGCTCCTTCCTTACACCCGTCCCGCAATCGTCCGCGTCGATTTTTGCATTCTCATGTCTAGCATCGGTGCTGTATTTTCTCTATCGGTGTTCGGGTCTCGATTTAAATTCTACCATTTTTTTACCTCTCTTTATCCTTCGAAAAAATAAATGCGTGTTGTAATTCTTTTATAGTCTAGTGATAGAGAAATAGTGATAGAGAAAAAAAATGGTTCCTAAGGACTAAAACTCGGGCCGCCGAGAAGCTTAGCAAAAGGTTCGAGTGCGAAAACGATGGGTGCAACACAAGGACTTCCCAAGAGGTCACCCATCTTAGGACTACTCTCCCCCAAGCACGTTTAACTTCGGAGTTGTGATGGGATCTGGTGCATTAGTGCTGGCATGATCGCACCCGTCATCTCCTGCGCAAACTTTCTATTTCTCCTCTCCTTCCTTACACCCGTCTCGTATCGTCCGCGTCGCTTCTTGCATTCTCATACCTAGTATCGGTGCTGTATTTCCTCTATCGGTTTTCGGGTCTCGATTTAAATTTTACGATTTTTTATCGTATCGGTGCTGTATTTCCTCTATCGGTTTTCGGGTCTCGATTTAAATTTTACGATTTTTTTTTACCTCTCTTTATCCTTCGAAAAAATAAATGCTTGTTTTAATTCTTTCATAGTCGAGTGATAGAGAAAGAAAATGCTTCCTAAGGACTAAAACTCGGGCCGACTGCCGAGAAGCTTAGCAAAAGGTTCGAGTGCAAAAACAAGGGGTGCAACACGAGGACTTCCCAAGAGGTCACCCATCTTGGTACTACTCTCACCCAAGCACGTTTAACTTCGGAGTTCTAATGGGATCTGGTGCATTAGTGCTGGTATGATCACACACATCATCTCTTGCGCAATATTTCTATTTCTCCTCTCCTTCCTTACACCCGTCTCGCAATCGTCTGCCTCGCCTTTTGCATTCTCATACCTATTATCGGTGCTGTATTTCCTCTATCGGTGTTTGGGTCTCGATTTAAATTCTACGATTTTTTTTTACCTCTCTTTATTCTTTGAAAAAATAAATACGTGTTGTAATTCTTTCATAGTCGAGTGATAGAGAAAGAAAATACTTCCTAAGGACTAAAACTCGGGCCGGCTGCCGAGAAGCGTAGCACAAGGTTCGAGTGCGAAAACGAGGGGTGCAACACGAGGAGTTCCCAAGAGGTCACCCATCTTAGTACTACTCTCGCCCAGGCACGTTTAGCTTCAGACTTCTGATGGGATCCAGTGCATTAGTGCTGGTATGATCGCACCCGTCATCTTATGATCGCACCCGTCATCTCTTCGCGCCAGTCTTCCTATTTTCTCTCCCCGCTCGCTTCCTGTACACCCCGTCTCGCAAATCGTCCGAGTCCGATTTTTCGCATCTCATGCCTAGCCATCGGTGCTATTTTCCTCTATCCGTGGTGTTCGGGTCTCGATTTAAATTCTACCATTTTTTTACCTCTCTTTATCCTTCGAAAAAATAAATGCGTGTTGTAATTCTTTTATAGTCTAGTGATAGAGAAAGAAAATGATTCCTAAGGACTAAAACTCGGGCCGGCTGCCGAGAAGCTTAGCGAAAGGTTCGAGTGCGAAAACGACGGGTGCACCACGGGGACTTCCCAAGAGGTCACCCACCTTAGTACTACTGTCGCCCAAGCATATTTAACTTCAGAGTTCTGATGGGATCCGGTGCATTAGTGCTGGTATGATCGCACCCGTCATCTCTTGCGCAATCTTTATTCTTCCTCTCCTTCCTTACACCCCCTTCCTTACACCCGTCTCGCAATCGTCCGTGTCGCTTTCTGCATTCTCATACCTAGTATCGGTGCTGTATTTCCTCTATCGGTGTTCAGGTCTCGATTTAAAATTTAATATTTTTTTTTACCTCTCTTTACCCTTCGAAAAAATAAATGCGTGTTGTAATTCTTTCATAGTCGAATGATAGAGAATGAAAATGGTTCCTAAGGACTAAAACTCGAGTCGGCTGCCCAGAAGCTTAGCAAAAGGTTCGAGTGCGAAAATGAAGAGTGCAACACGCACCACGAGGACTTCCCAAGAGGTCACCCATCTTAGTACTACTCTCGCGCCAAGCACGTTAACTTCGGATTCTGATGGGATCCGGTTGCATTGCAGCTGGTGATGATCGCCTCCGTCATCTCTTGTCGCAAATCTACTATTTCTCCTCTCCTTCCTTACACCGTCTCACATCGTTCCGCGTTGACGCTTTTTGCATTCTCATACCCTAGTAATCGGTTGCTGTGTAATTTCCTCTATACGGTGCTGTTATTTCGCTCTATCGGTGTTCGGGTCCTCGATTTATTTAAATTTTACGATTTTTTTTTTACCTCTCTTTATCCTTCGAAAATAAATGCGTGTTGTAATTCTTTCATAGTCGAGTGATAGAGAAAAAAAATGATTCCTAAGGACTAAAACTCGGGACGGCTGCCGAGAAGCTTAGCGAAAGGTTCGAGTGCGAAAACGACGGGTGCACCACGAGGACTTCCCAAGAGGTCACCCACCTTAGTACTACTGTCGCCCAAGCATATTTAACTTCAAAGTTCTGATGGGATCCGGTGCATTAGTGCTGGTATGATCGCACCCGTCGTCTCTTGCGCAATCTTTCTATTTCTCCTCTGCTTCCTTACACCCGTCTCGCAATCGTCCGCGTCGTCGCGTCGCTTTTTTGCATTCTCAACCTAGTTATCGTCGGTTTCGGGTCCTCGATTTAAATTACGATTTTTTTCTTTTACCTCTCTTTATCCTTCGAAAGATAAATGCGTGTTTATTGCTTTCATATCGAGTGATAAGAGAAAGAAAATGGGTTCCTGAAAGGACTAAAACTCGGGACGGCTCGCCGAGAAAGCTTAGCAAAAGGTTTGAGTGCGAAAACGATGGGTTGACCACGAGTACTTTCCCAAAGACGGGTCACCCACTTAGTTACTACTCCTCCGCCCAAAAGCACCAATTAAGCTTCGCCGCAGTTCTAATGGGATCCGGTGGTATTACGCTGGTATGATCGCATTCGTCACTCTTTGGCATCTTTCTATTTTCTACCTCCTCCCTTCCTTTACACCCCGTCTCGCAATCGGTCCGCCGTCGCTTTTTGCATTTCTCATACCTTGATGTACGGGTGCTCCGTGTATTTCCTCTATCGGGTGTTCCGGTCTCGATTTAAATTTTTACATTGTTTTTTACCCTCTCTTTATACTTTGAAAAATAATGCGTGTTGTATTCTGTCATAGTCGAGTGACACAGAAAGAAATGGTTCTAAGGACTAACTCGGGCCGGCTGCCGAGAAGCTAGCAAGGTTCGAGTGGCGAAAAACGAGGGTGCGCAGCCACAAGGACCCAAGAGGTCACCCACCTTAGTAACTAAAGTCGCCCAGCACATTTAACTTCAAGAGTTCGTGTGGGATCCGGTGCATAGTGCTGGTATGATCGCACCCGGTCATCTCGTTGCGCAATCTTTCTATTTCTCACTCCTTTCCTTACGACCCCGCGTCTGCGGCAATCGTCCGCGTCCGCTTTTTGCATTCTTCACCAAATCAGTCATCGGTGCTGTATTTCCTCTACCGGCCGGTGTTCGGTCCCTTCGAATTTAAATTTTTGGCGATTTTTTTTTTGTACCCTTTCTTCTTTATCCTTCGAAAAAAATAAATGCTTGTTGTAATTCTTTCAATAGTCGAGTGATAGAGAAAGAAATGGTTCCTTAAAACTCGGGCCGGCTTCCGAGAAGCTTCGCTAAAGGTTCGAGTGCGAAAACGAGAGGTGCAACACGCAACACGAGGACTTCCCAAGAGGTCACCCATCTTAGTACTACTCTTGCCCATTGTTGTTGCTTGTAAGCTTTATTTTAATTTTAGACAAAATCCACCATATTTATTTCAATTGTTCCTTCCATATCGAAGAGAAACTCGGAGAATCAAGTTTTAAGAGTAAAACGAAGATGGAGACAAAATGACTGTATAGTTTCTCCTGAGTTCAATGTGAAATACAAAGCTATTATATACAGCTTTACAATTGATAACCATTTCCAGCTCACTCACGCTAACAAACTCAATCCAGAAAAGATAACAAACTAACAAACTTGTAGTATAAGCTAATTGTGATTTCAGCCTTTGCTTAGCTGGAATTTTGTAGATAAATATTATTCTTCAACCCCTCCCCCCCCCCCCCCCCCCCATTTGTAGATAGAATATTATTCTTCAAGCCCTCCCCCCCCGCCCCCCCCCTCAAGATGTAAGTGGGAAGTCGACCAAAACCCATCTTCGGACATTAAGTGAGGAAAATGAAGTACTCCCCCCCCCCCCTCAAGATGTAGTGGGAGAAGTCGACCAAACCCATCTTGGACATTAAGTGAGAAAATGAAGTACTTGAAGATGATTTGGTGAAAATGTCAGCAAGTTGGAGCTTGGTGGAGATGTGTTGTGAGGATATGAAAGCTGCTGTCATTTGGTTTCAGACTATATGACAGTCTCTGGCAATATATATGGATGCTATGTGAATGGCGGCTTGGTTGTCACAATGTAAGGGAATTGGAAGGGATTTAGGAATCTGGAAGTCTTGGAGAATGTATGTAATCAATTGGAGTTACAAATAGTTATTGCCATACTCTTGCATTCAGCTTCAACTGAGGAACGGCTGACTATGGTTTGTTTATTTTATTTCCATGAGAAGAGGGAATTACCCCGGAAAATGCAATAGCCAGTAAGTGAATGTTTGTGGTGGCACATGATGCCTAGTCTGCATCATAGTAAGCAGTGAGTTGGAATGAAGAAGAAGCAGGAAAGAACAGGCCTTTGGAGAGATTGCCTTTCAAATACCTTAGGACATGTAAGGCAGTATAAAAGTGTGTTTTGCAGGGATTTTGCATAAATTGACTGAGCTGTTGAAAAACAAATGTAATATCTAGACGCGTTACTCTCTAGTAATATGCCAACTATTTTTCTGTACAGCTCTGGGTTATCTAGTGTTTATCCCATGTTAGGTGTGAGCTTTATATCCTGAACTAATGGAGAAGTAACAGAAGAAGCATTTTGCAAACTGCATCTTGGATCATATCAGTGGTATATTTCTTCTGTGTTAAGCACATTCCAATGCTAGATCGGGCTATTTCAATCTCAAGAAAGTATTTAGCATAGCCCAAGTCCTTGATAGTGAATTTTTGGTGGAGGAAGGTTTTGACTTCAAGGATAAGCTCTTCATTAGGACCAGCAAGAAGTATATCATCTACATAAACTAAAAGGGCAATGAAGGTTGAAGCTGACCCTTTGGTGAACAGGCAATGGTCATTAGATGACTGAGAAAAACCAAATAATTTGATGTGTGAAATAATGTCATCATTGTTATTGGAAACAGCAGAAGCCACGAAATCTTGTAACCAAGCTGGTTTGGATTTGATTCTAAGACTCTTTCTTAATGTATTAGGTGGTAGTGTTGGTAGGGAAGGTAAGCCGGATGTGGGGAGATGTGAAACAGGCATGTGTGAAGTTGTATCTGCAGGCAGTGTATGTGAAGGTACTGGTAATGGTGAATGTGTAGTGGTGGGGAGATGTGATGAGGTTGTATTTGTAGGTATTATTGATGAAGGAATTTGTAATGCTGTGTGTGCGGGGGTAGGATAATTTGGTGAAGGGAAAGGTGTTTGGCATGTTTTGGGAAATCTGGAATTGTGTTTTCTGCAGGTTCTGTGCTAGCTGTGTTTAGTGGCAAGTTTGAATGGGGAGAAGAAGAAGTCTTCTTATGGAAAAGTATGTGGGATGTGTCCTTAGGTTCATTATGGAGAAGTACTGTTCTGCAAATCCCCCAGCTAAATATGTTAAGAATGTATCCAACATGCTGAAAAGAATTTTTGTTCTTAAAAAAAAGCAACTATAAAATTAATTATATGCTCGTAAATTATAGCAAAAACTAAAAAAATAAAAATAAAAATAAAAATAAAAATAATAAAATAAAATAAAATTATAAATAATGCTTAAAATATTTGAACTTAAAATAGAAATGAAAAATAAATAAAAAAAAATATAAAATAAACAATCAATTATAAATAAGCTTAAATAATGATAAAGTTCATTTATAAGTATCTTAAATATATTGAAGCGACCAAAAAATAAAATTATAAATAATGCTTAAAATAATGATTAAAATATCAATTATTATAATATTTATAATATATTGAAGCGATCCAAAAATTTATTTTCAAAGATTTTTCATTTAAAAATTTAAATAATAATTCTAATCAATGATATTTTAGATGTTAATATATTTAAAATAAATTAACTAATACCATATGAAATTATTTAATAAAATTTAAGGTAAATACATTTTATATTTGTTAAATCAAACCCTTAAATCTATTTAAACTCATTAAAATTTCCAAACCAAAGAAGAAACCAATTAAATCAAACAAAAACCTATGATTTGGGCCAAACCAGACTCAAATCAACCCGAACCAGCCTTAGACCAATTAGAAAGCTCCAGAATTCAGAAATTCCCAAAAAAATCCCCACCCTTCTCTTCTCTCTCCCCGTTTTCAGCGACAGCAATCCTCCGTCCCCCTTTCTTCGATTTTCCGACCGCCTGAGGCCTGTCCGATCGTCGGACCTTCTCCACGTCACCACCGGCTCTCCGCCGTTCTCTCCCTCTCCTCTGTTATCTCCGGTGGCCGCAGCAGTCACATGTGAAGCTGCGAGTTCATTCCGATCGGGACGGCTTATTCCCGTGTTCTTTTCTCTTCCCGGCGACGCCAACCGTAACCGGCCAACCCACCTCGAATTTAGCATATCACACCACCGCTCCTCCATCTCCGGGCATCTGCAGCTCACGATTTAGCGAGAAAGAAAGGGACAGCGAGTTACGCTTTCGTTTTTTCCGATCGGTGCAGTCTCCTCCTTCAACTCTCTTTCTCGCTTTTCCGGCAAGACCCGCCTCTAGCCGGCGAAAACGGCTCTTTTCTCGTCGCTAGCCACTCACATACATCGTTGCTCCCACCTTCGACCAAGCTAACGCCGGCAGAGTTGGATTTCGGCATTTGGTTTACCGCCGGTGATTTTAACCGGAAAGATTCAGTTTCCAACAAAGTCTATAGCTAGGTAAATTGATCTTTGACTCTTTTTCAGTATATTTTTCATGAATCCTTTGAGTATAGTTATAGAATTTGATGTATTAACATAGATGCTATTTTTCATACAAACATTATGGGAGAATTAAATTAATTTTCTTCCTAGCTTTAATTAAACCAAATTTTAGTGAGTGTTTTGGTGTGATTAAAGTAACTTCCACTCAGAAGTTGAGTATTGAATAAGTGACAGCAGCTTTCAGTTAGAGAAATTATAATTTTGCTTGAATTAGGTTCATAAATGGTAGTAGGAAAATATTTTTCATAACTTTTGCTAATATAAGGTTCTCTTGATATCGCAGCAGCTAATTTAGCTATTTCTGATGAGTTTTGCTTAATAAAAGGGGAAATGATATTATATATTGAATCTTGATAGAAAATGAACAAGAGAGTGGGTAGAATATGGGTTTTAAATATAAATTTTAATTTTTGTGGTTATAACTGCATCCATATTATTCCATTACTTGAACCTTGAGATTGATGAGGTGAGAAGTGATGAGTTATACGAATTCTTTGTCGAACGGCAAATTTGTTAGTATATAGGCCATGAGTTTGATTAGAAATTTGGTTTCGGTATTGGTATGGAGAAAGAAAGACATGTATAAATTTATGGATTTTATGGGATATATTTATATAAGTGTGTATGCAATGATTGAGCTTGAAGTTTTATATGTACAGGTACAAATTAAAGAATATGGAGGTAATGCATATGAATTGAGCTTGAACAGTTTGATATATTGATACAGGTACAAATTAAAAGAATACTGCGAAAAGATATTAAATCGTGAAAGCTATATTAATGCACGTAGCGCTATACTTGTATCTTTATGGGATATATTTATATAAGTGTGTATGCAATGATTGAGCTTGAAGTTTTATATGTACAGGTACAAATTAAAGAATATGGAAAAGAATTAATCGTGAAAGCTAATTATGCACTTACGCTTATATATGTATCTATGTATCCAAGGGCTAATCAAAGATATTATTTAAAAATAATTGTTGCTTGATATGGTACAATGAAGTCGTATATTTAATACTTGCTAGGGATTGATTAGTTAATGTGTAATATGTAATTTTGGCATAGAAAAACTCTGAATTTTGTGAATTGGCAGCAGCTACCTTAAGTAGTTTTTGTGTTGTTTTAGAAGGACCTATATATGCAAGCGAGTGTGCTTTCAAGATTCCGTGTCGGTCGATTATCTATGGTTGATAGATGATTTAAATAGGTTTGTTATTTATAATGATGATTCATGGATTGTTAAGTTGTAATACAAGATTTTATTTAATAATAATAACGAATATTGGATACATAAGCTATAGTTTTATATGATTGTTAAGGGTCTATATTCAGATAGTTTAACTAGTAATATGTGGAGGTCAAGCAAATTTTCACTTATTTGCTTATTTATTTATTTACTTAATGTTACATAGCAAGTTAAAGTTTGACATTGACGATCAAATATTGATGTGATTACTTTGGATGGAGGAAAGGAAATAAATTTGTTTGATTGCCCATGGATGGGCTGTGTGTATTGATTGAATAATACTTGTTGTTATTGGGATTTAAACAGGTTGATAGTCCCACTTTTAGGGGAGGTGTTGTCAAAATTTCGACAGAATTTAGGCTACTAATGTTTAATGATTAAGTAGATAGGCTTATTAGTATAAACCCTTTAACTTGATTTATTTTAAGTATGGTTCTTTATTTAACTCGGTCCTTTTATATTTGTATTTAATCTAGATCGTCCGAGTTCGTCTACCACTCCTACCAGCCAAAATCCAAATTATCACTCTTTCTCTCTTCTACCACTGTGAGTAATAATAAATAGTGTATACCATATTTTGCATGCATATATTATTTACTTTATAAAGAAAAATATAAATGATAATTAGCATTTATTTTTATATTACTATGTTATTATTAACATCTGATGACATTTATATATTTATTTACATCATAATTATATTTTTATGTTTGCATATTAATTATTGATTTGGTGCATTATACTGAATGCATTGTTTGATTCTTTGTATTGTGACATGGTTGTATCTTGTTTGTATGGAATTGGGATAAAATGGGTCACCACGGGTTTGTGTACGATACCGTCTGCCATGTATGGGGAGATCGGCGCTCCCATATGCGTCTGATGATATATGATATGGAAAATCACAAGGTAGCCTTCTATTGGTATAGAAAAGAAAAGAGAGTATAAAAAAAAAAAAAAAGAGTGCTGGTCAAATGAGGTTGAGACTGGTTGGCTATGTATGGGAGATTAGTTACCTGGTGCACACGACGTGAGAGAGCGGGTCATGTGTGAGGACGGCTCGTGGGTGTTTCGGTGACACCACAGAGCAATCTCCACTTGCTTGTTTATGTGATCATGCTATTGTATGTAGATGCTATTGTTTGCTATGTGCGTGACTGATCGAGTGTTCATCTTAGTGCCTTTAGGATTCACCTCGTGTGAATGTTTGGGAAATGTACTATTTATTATTGCTCACTGAGTTGTAAAACTCACATCCATTTTTATTATTACTCACTGAGTTGTAAAATTCACCCTCATTTTTATTTAAAATTTTCAGGAAGCAGTCTTTCTCTATTCCTGCGGTAGTTCTGTTTTCTACCTCCATAGAGCTAGAAATGTAATAAATTCCTTATAACACTCTCTCTTTTCATTTAACTACTATTTATATGATTGGGTTGTAAGTAATGTAACTACCATTTATATGATTGGATTGTAAGTAAATTTTAGTTGAGCTCTGTAGTTAAAAGGTTTTCCTAAGATATTTATTTGTAAAGTGCAATAAAATAATTACATTTTCAATGTATAAATTTCGTTAATTTTGGACTTATGCATTTGTGAGCTAAAAGCCCCTTTAATTTTGGACTTATGCATCTGTCAGCTAGAAGCCCATAGTGTGGTCGATATACACTTATAGGCCTGTGATTTACATTTTGATTACGATAATGCGATCAGGCCGTGAACCTAAATAAAAAAATCTACTTATGTTATGGGCATACTATTCATGAATAAGAGTTATGCCCCATTTCAGATTAGTTGATGGTTTAAACTTATTAAGGGCTTCAGGAGCCTTATACTTACTTAAGTTCTAGTATCGGTTCAACCTATGGATTTGGGTCTGGACAAATATAATCTTTATAATATATAAAAGCAGAACAGTTTGCATTATATGTAAGATAATTGTAAGCCTCTAAAATTACCACGTGTGAGAAGGAACAGTAGGGAACAATAAGTTTAATTAATTATTAAAAGTTAAAAAAATCAAAAATAGGAACCGTAGGGACCAACAATTAAATTTTGATCAAACATTAATTATCACAAATTTTTTCTACAAAATCAATCAAACTAGATTTTTATGTCCTTTTACCAATAGGGACTAATAATAATATATATTCACAGCTTTTTATTTTTTTATATTTTCATTTTTTATATTTTAACATTGTTTACTCAATTATATTTTAATATTTCTCTGCCAATTAGACTAATAGTAATATAAACTTAATTTCTTATTTCAATGACAAAAATAAATTTTAAAAAAAAAAAAATTTCATTTTTTATTGGTAATAAGAAAAAATATGAAGTAGCTTCATATACCAGGAGTTAGGTTACACAGACACGAGACACAAGATACAGGAATATGCGAGATACAATAATTTTTAAAAAAGGTAAAACATTTACACTCTTAGGACACACTAAACTAAATAAGTAATAAATTAATATTTCAAATAGATAAACAATCATTTATAATAAATCATAAACATAAAATAAAAAATACTTAATTTCCTATTTCAATGAAACGAAAACAAATTAAAAAATATATTTCATTTTTATTGGTAATAAAAAAAACTTGGTTTATCAGCTTTAGTGTATGGAGTAGTCTCATATACGAGGAGTTAGATTGCACGAACACGGAATATGAGATATAAGAACGTACGAAAATGACAATTTTTAAAAAGTAGGACATACATATGTTTAGAACACACTACACTAAATAAATTATACATTAATATTTCAAATAAATAAATAATAATTTATAATAAATTTAGACACACCTACCACTATAAATTATAATTATTATATTTTCCAATAAATAAATAATAATTTAATATAAATTAATAAACATAAAATAAAGAAAAATTAATTTCGTTATTTCAATGAGCACAAAATATTCAAATTGAAAAAAAAAAACAAATTTTCATGTTTTTACTGGTAATAAAAAAAAAAATCTTGGTTGAATTCAGCTTGGTGGTACATGGAGAGTGCTTCATGTACAAAGAGTTAGATTGCATGAACAACGACACGAGATATAGGAAGTACTGAGATAAATAAATAATAATTTATAATAAATTATAAACATAAAATAAAAAAAATTAATTTCTTATTTCAATGACACAAATACAAATTGAAAAAAAAAACAATTCATTTTTACTGGTAATAAAAAAAAAAATCTTGGTTGATCAGCTTGGTGTATGGAGTAGTCTCATGTACAAAGAGTTAGATTGCATGAACACGATACACGAGATATAGGAACGTACATGATACGATAATTTTTAAAAAAATAGGGCATCTACGTACTTGGGACACACTAAACTAAATAAGTAAACATTAATATTTCAAATAAATAAATAATCATTTAGAATAAACCATAAGCATAAAATAAAAAAATACTTAATTTCTTATTTCAATATAATTAGTTAAATTCTCAAAATTATTATCAATGTTGAAAAATACATTAATAGTGTGCATGCATTTTTTTATATATGTCATACCATGCATAGTTTTTGCTATTGCATACCTCATGAAAGACTGCGCATGGTACTTAGGAAGACATATATTAGCATTGTAACTTTTCATCATATCTCAATGAGATATAATTTATCATTTTATTATATAATTTTACTATTTTTGAATGATGTTATAAAATTTTATTTCATCTTTTAATATTGCTCCGTACATCATGCGGGTTTTAACACTAGTATCTATAATATAAATTCATAATAAGTCAAGTCAAACTAATATTCATTTTGAGAAAATTTATTTTATTATTTTAATTATAAAATTTTTTTATTATGTGAATACTTTTAGATTTTTAGTAATATAAAATATTTATAACATTATAAAATTTAATAGAAAATTATATATATAAATTAAATTTTATTTATTTATTTACAACAAGTAAAAATGAATGAGTACAAACAATATGCAACGCATCTTCGAAAAAGCTAGTTAATATAAAATGATAAATTGAAATTTACAAAATCCAAAGATATGATTTTTCCAGCTTTCAAAAGGATAGAATTAATCAATTCAATAATTTGTGGCCTAATTTTTATTAAACTAAACAAAAGAATATGATAAATCTATAAAATATTCCATATTTAAATTCTACAAATCGAAAACCCTTTTAATATCATGAACTGACATTTCTATACAAGTCTTCACTCATCAATCCAAAAATCAATATATAAATGGAAATAACAATGGATTTGATGATGATTATAATTCTTTGAAGTCACTAGACATAGTTTGAACAATTTTTTTGGAAGAAATCAAGAGAAAAATGCATACAGACATGAAATATAGATAACTATATTTCTGTATTTTTATATATGAAATCTAATAATAAACCATTTACACAAATAAGAAAAAAAAAATATAATCATTTGAAGTATCTGATCGAGTGATAGATCTAATATTTATGTCGTAGGCAATTACTTGCTCCACTTGGTGGTTATTCATGGCCACTGTTCAACTCTATGGTCTTTCTATAAGTCCAATATGATCACTTTCTAATTTCTTCCTCCTATTAGAAAGAATAACCGCACTTCTTTTTATATTATTATGCAAATAATAAAATATCCTAAAGAAAATCACTAAAACAATGACAACAGAAACTCAAAACTAAATTTGAGAATAAAAACATAATATATGGGTAATAATAAATCTCAATATCTGGCAAAAATAACTCAAACTTGTTAATACAGATCTGAGGATTATTTGACAAAAAAATTAATAAAAAAGGGGATAAACACACCAATTAAATTGCATTTTACATAGGGATGGCCAAGGTTCTGGAACCGCCATTGGGTTTTATAACTGACAGTTCCGGTTCCAAAAATTTGGAACCGAAATTGAAACTAACCAAAAGTTGACGGTTTCGGTTACAATTTGAAACCAACCGGTTACAATTTCGATTCCGGCTTCTTAACGGTTCGAAATCGATGATTTTGGCCGGTTCTCCAATTGATTTTTCAGCAATTTGCATAATTATAAAATAAAAAATTATGGAATATTTTTTTGTTGAAAATTTAAAATTTAAATATTTATGAAATAACTTTTAGAAAAAACGTTAAGAAAAAATTAATAAACAGACTTAATTTATTTGTTTAAAAAAAAGGATTGAACTTAATTTTTTTTTAGAAAAAGGATTGAACTTAATTTATTTTTTTAAATAAAAAGGGGTATTTATAATAAATCAAAAAATTAATTTTCCATAAATACCCTTAAAACTAGTTGTGATATAGTTGTTAGAAAAATCCATTTGGGGATTTCTCAAAAAAAATTTTAAAAAAAATTTTAAAAAAATTATAAGAACTGGGTGGAACCTCCAGAACCACCGGTTCTAACCGATTGAAAAAACTGACAGTTCACGGTTTTTAAAAAATTGAAACTGAAACCAGAGTGCGGACTCCTTATTCCAATTCCTCATGATTTCAATTCCAAGTCCCACCGATTTCAAACCCGGAATTCAGTTCCAAAAACAGTAAAGTTGCCGCCCCTAATTTTACACCAATTGAAATTACATTTTACATTTTCAAGGATGTAAACAAATGATAATGTAAAAATTTAGCAAGGATTGCTACTGGATTAGGGATCATTTGCTAAATCTTTTTTCAATTGATATATAAATATATATTTATGGCCCTTCCATCCAAATTCTAATTATGTGGAAGTTAAATTAATAAAGTGGGCCCATCTCATGTGCTCCTTAGTCAGAGAAGTTATTGTATTTGGCACTTACAAGGTACAAGAATATAGAAAAAAAAAAAAAAAAATTGTCATTATTTGACCCGACCAAAACAAAATCACTTTACCTTTCTTCTTCATTATCGCCTTCTTCTGCAAAACAAAAGATGTAAAAACCTTCCACAGCGAAATTAGCACCGTTGCACCTTTCGTAATTTATTATGAAGTTCCTGATGGTTAGAAATACAAACCATATTGATTTTTTTATAGTATTCAGTAATATAATCTTTAGATTAGTTTTTAGAGATTAAGTAGCATTTTATGAAAAGTTAACTCATGTAACATTTAACTCTTAACATTTCGTGAAAAACCACTCAATTTAGCTAACAGCTAAATGCTACTAAAACAGCGAATAGCTAGAGGTGTGCATGGATTCGATTGAGACGGAAATTACATAATTTTAGTCTCACACCAAAATATCAGAATATGAAAAATGGAGCCTCAATCCCGTCTCGATAGATATATAATCTCGTTCCAAAAATGGAACGGGATGAAATAAAAATTCGAGTCTATGAGACAGAACGAAATGTGCTAGGTCAGGATTCAATCGGGATTTTCTGTAGACTTAATTATTTCTCATAAAAAAAGATAAAAAAAATTATTATTTTCATCAATTATAATCAAATAAAATTCATTTATATAAGTTTGAGCTAAAAAAGATTAAATTTAATCGACGATGATCTACTGCTAAAGTTATAATAGAAGATTTTTAAGTAGTTATTTTCTAGTTAATAAAAGCGCTAAATATAATAAAATAAAATAATGCAAAAATTATATACAATTTAACTTTGCATGTAGTTTATGAATTTTAATTTATCATTAGTTTTGTCACTGTTGTCTTTAAACTGATTTAAATTTGATACTTAATTTAAACTTGAATATAATCTGAAAAATAAATAATGATAGCATTAAGCACAACTAATAATCCAGTAACCAGATTAATTAAAGTCAATATTTTCTCTTGTATGATCAATCTTTTCATTTTTTTGTTTACTAGAAAAAAATTATCAAAAAGTCTTACTTGACACATACTTTGGAATAACAGTGGAGAAATTTATGTTGAAAAATATGTTTAATTGCTTTACTTATTTTATATTTAAAAATGCATATTATTTTTTCTTATTATTATTACTTATTTTATATTTAAAAATGCATATTATTTTTTCTTATTATTATTACTACTTCAGCAATAATTGCTATTATTAGAAAACTAAATTAAAAAGGATCAAATGATTTTTATGGACATAATTTGAAATTCATAAAAAAAGATAACTAAAATTTTAAATAAAAAATGGGATGAGAATTTCGATTTTTGGGACGGGACAGGATGGGAGATAATTTGGGTTGGAACGGTCCGTTTTAATCAAAAAACAAATCTTATCCCACAATTACTTTTGTGACGGGATTCGAGAAGGGACTATTAAATTAATATCGGGTTTTTTTGAATTGTGAATTTCGGGCCGATTTTTAGGAATCGGTCGGGATACCCACAATCCCGTGCACACCCCTATTAACATCTATTAAAACAGCTAATTTTGCCGAACAGACTCCTATAGTACAATTACTGAAAAAATAAATACACAGTTAGTTGAAAAATTAAAAGATTTGAATACAATTGTGAAAACGCTCAAAATTCTGGATTTTCTTTAACCATACACCCAGTATTCTCCATTTCCAATTATGTAGGGAAGAAAAATGGAGATTCTAGCTGTATATATTATGAATCACCAAATTTCTATAAATTTATTTGGAATGTTTATAGCCCGTCTGGAAAAAATAATTCCTCAAAATTTTGTAGAATTCATTTGAAATTTCAAAGTTTTGTGTTTAGAATGAAAAAAAATTTAAATTTAAATTCTACGAATTGAATTCTATAGAATTGAGTGTACTTTACTCAAATTCTACTAAAATTGATAGAATTCCTAAATGAATTTCATAAAATTAAACCATTGAAATTTTAATTGACGAAATTATCGTGCATTGCAAACTCAGTTGTTTTTACTCTTTTTTTTACTCTTTATTTATTTTTTTTTAAAAAATTCCTACTAACGTTTTTTTTTTTTTTTTTTAAATTTTTTTAAAAAATTACTACTAACGTGTTTTTTTTTTTTTTTAAATAATGGGTAATACTAACTTTATATTTTTACTTTTTTTCCTTTTTTTTTTTTTTGGAAATTCCCTACTAAGGTTTTTTTTTTTTTTTTTTTAAATCTGGTAATAACTAACTTAAACCATATTTTACTTTTTTTCCTTTTTTTTGGTTTTTTTTTTTTTGAAAAAATATCCTACTACCCGAGACACAATTTTAATTCTTGAACCATCTGTAAATAATTATTATTTTTTTTTTTTTTTTTTTTTTAAATCTGGTAATAACTAACTTTACATATTTACTTTTTTTCCTTTTTTGTTTTTTTTTTTTTGAAAAATCCCTACTACCCTTTTCTTTCTTGAAATCTGGTAATAATTATTTACTTTTGTTTTGAAAATTCCAAACTATTAATGTTGTTATATTATTTTTAAATCTTATAATAAAATTATTATGAAACTATAAAAACTGACTATCATCAATTGTTTCCAAATGCAATTGAAAATAGTAATAACCTTTTTAAATATTCTTTTAGTTTCCAAATTAATTACTTAAATCAATAAGACTTTTAACAATTAAAATAATTATTATGATGAATATCCCTTAAAAAAATTATTATGATGAATATTAATATAATTAATTAATTAATAGTAATAAAAAATATTAAGTTATTTTATTGTATATAATAAATTTTTGTTTGTTATTTATTTTTATTACTTATTATGTAAAGGATATTATAAGAATTAAAGACAAATGAATTTTCATTTAAAAATTTATTTCAAATATAATTTTATAAAATCTAATTAAAATTCTTATTTTAAATTATGACATACGAAAATGGAGAAATTCATTTATACATGAATTCTACGTAGAATTCATTTAAATGAATTCTATATTAATGACTCATTTGTTCCAAATATAGTTTTACATTGGATTACACTAGGACTGGTTTGAACAATCATATAATTGCAACTACATCCTTAAACCTCACATCAAAACTTTTAGATTTGCGTTATAATATATAGAAAAATTTATGATTTTGTCCTTGCATGTTGTCATAATATATAACATTCCCTACAATTTTAGAAATGTATATTTTTCTCTCTATATTTTGTCTCCATTGTATTCATTCCGTCAATTTTTATACTTTTTCACTAAAAAATTATAATTCTATCCTTGTATTTTATTAAAATTAATTAATATATCTCTACATATATTGATTATTTTGTCCTTGTATTTTACCGAAATAAATTAATTTATCCATGTATTTGATGAAAAAGTTAAAAAATTGATAAAAGGATATAATAGTCAATGGAAAGCCAAATTCATATATTTTGACAAAGGAATTCGAATCGGGTTGCATTAGCATTCTAGTGAGCAATCCTTATATTAGTGTAAGAAACAATCCAATGAGTGTATTGGACTAATGCTGCAAAATCCAATTCATGAATAAAAACAAAATAAAACTCCCAACACCCAACAATTCTCGTGTCCAAACAACTTCCAATATTTCATTATAACTGTTTCCAAAATCCAAATTGCAGAAGACATTCATCTTCCAATTCCGTGACGACATCTTGCAACTGAAAAATATAAATAAACATTCCAGCATGGAAATCACCCTTCCTACACGTGTCCCAGTCACCCAACCCCACGTGTCCTCAGGGAAGTTTTTCTCTGCAACATTTGTATATTTGGGCACCGCCACTCGGCGCATTATAAATGCAGCTCCAGATTACAATAGTTAATGAGAATCTAAATCTTCATTCATATATTTTAGAGAGAGAGAGAGAGAGAGAGAACTCCTCTGTTTTTTCTTTGTCTCGTCTGAAAATTTCTATTTCTACTTGATCAGAAATTATATAATGGCCACCAAACAAGGCCGTATTCTTCTATCCATATTTGCACTGGTTCTCGCCGGAAATTTTGGCTCTGGTGTTTCATATAACCGGCCACCGCCTCGTGAAAACTTCTATGTCAAACCATCTAAAGCTGATGATTCCGCTACGCCACAACAGGTGATAAATAAATTTACTTTCACCTTTTCATTATGTTTTCTTAATTTTCTTGTTGAGAACTTGAGGTGATTTGAAATGGTTAGGATTGGTCGGAGTTAGATAGAGCACCAAAAGAGAAATCTACTGACAGCTAGTTTGGTGGAGAAAATGTTTTCATGATATTATTAGCGCCTTAAGTCAAAGAGGTTGGCCAGAAGAAGCCATTCTGTTTTTATTATTTTTTGTTAATTAAATTAATCTCAAAATAATAGTATGAGGAATCTACCTTATTCTTATTTTTAGACTTTCTAGTTATTATATTAATATTTCTTTATTGTTACCATAAGATTAATTAATTATTGAAAATTCCCTTCGAAAAAATTAATTATTGAAAATTGAAAAACGAGATGATTACAACCTTTAAAAAAAAAATAAAAACAAGATGGTTACAATAAAATAATACAAATCATAATTGAGTTAAAACTCATTGATTACAACAAATTTCTCGTTAGAAATATCGTCTGTTGTAAATAGGAAATGATTAATTATTTCCGTTACTGTAATTAATTGATTTCTTTAAAAAAAATGTAACTAGAAAATTGTTGTTTTTTATCATAGAGATAAATGGTAACTATTGTTTAAATTATTTTTTCGGTTTTCGCCAGATTATTCAGACATCCTTTTCGGATACAAGACTACTCTCATTTCAGATTATTGGAAATTATTTTAAATATTGATAATGTGGTGCAGGTGCATATATCAATGGCTGGTGAAGATAAAATTAGAATAACATGGATAACAGACGACCCAGCACCAGCCATAGTAGATTATGGTACATCTTCTGGAATGTACAAAAACTCTGCAACTGGGAATACGTCGTCGTATCGGTACTTAACATATAAGTCAGGTCAAATTCATAATGTAGTGATTGGTCCACTCATTCCAAACACTGTTTACTACTACCGCTGCAGTTCTAATTCAGCTCGTGGGTTCAGTTTCAAAACCCCACCATCCAATCTTCCTATCAAATTCACTGTTACTGGTATATATGCCATTTTTGCAATTATATTATATTTGTCCAAATACAAATTCAATTTTGAATTTTGCAATTTTGATCATATTTCATCCTAAATTTTGTGGATTACCTATTATATACTTCAACTTGCAAATCTTAGTAATTTAACACATGTTTCTATATTATCAGCGACAGTTTTTAGGATTTTGATTTTACATGCAAAATATTGATTTCATGCGTAATTAATGTAACTTTTGAAATAATAATATTCAAAATTTTCAATTCTCTACTAGTTATTTAATTTTATAAGTTAAAGTATTCAATAAAATGATTTTATAAGTTGAAGTGTTTAATATTTGTAATTTTTCAAATTGAAGTATTTTTTGAATCAATGTAAACATTATAAGTGAACAAATGGTCAGTTCGGTTTAAACTGAAATGAACTAAGGTCTGTAAGCCAAAATTTTTGGATAAGAGACCCGACCGTTCTGAATTTGGCATCTAAACCGAAATTTTCTATATGGTCAATGCTTTTGTGCATTCTAGTAAAAATTGAGGATGCTATAAAATTGTAGTTACAAAATTCAAGATAAATTTTTGTATTTGGCCTATATGTTGGTGAGTCAGTCAGTTTGATTATCATGTTTCTAATTTCATATATGCATAAATCCAGGTGATCTTGGACAAACTGGTTGGACCCAATCAACCCTAGAGCACATATCCAAATCAGAGTATGATATATTACTTTTACCTGGAGACTTATCATATGCCGATATGGTTCAACCTTTATGGGACTCATTTGGCCGTCTGGTGGAGCCATTGGCTAGCCAGAGGCCATGGATGGTAACACAAGGCAACCATGAAGTCGAGAAAATCCCATTTCTACATAGCACCAAATTCACTGCCTACAATTCAAGATGGCATATGCCATTTCAAGAAAGTGGGTCCAGTTCAAACCTATACTATTCGTTCAATGCAGCCGGTGGTACAGTACATGTGATTATGTTAGGGTCATATGCAGATTTCAATCCAAGTTCTGATCAGTACAAGTGGTTGCAGAAGGATTTAGGGAAGATTGAAAGGGCAAAAACTCCTTGGGTGTTTGTGTTAATTCATGCACCTTGGTATAATTCTAATTCTGCTCATCAAGGTGAAGCTGAGTCTGTTCATATGAGGGATTTTATGGAGAAGTTAATTTATCAAGCTCGTGTTGATGTCGTTTTTGCTGGCCATGTGCATGCATATGAGCGATTTGTAAGCCCTCTCCTTCCCTTTTTCTGTTTTTTTTTTTTAGTCATTGACATATTTTCTATTTTATTTAATCATATCATATTATATTGTCAAGAAAATATTCTAAATTTCTTTTAAATATATAGAAAGTCGATGAATGAATGAGTATTTGATTGAACTTTGCTGAAAATTGCCAATATTTATATTCTTATATGGAAAATAAAATTTATATCTATGTTCCACACCCAATATTACTCAAATTTTATGCACATCTATTTGAAGACAACATCAAAAATTTTTGCAAAAAAGTGTCAATTTGATCTCATCATTTTAAACCATTTATTTAATACTATAATTTATTATGCTATTGTACTGGATATACTCATCAATTACCAAATATATCTTACAATAATCATTATTTAGCTCTTAAAATTTCCTTTTAGGAGAATAAAATTGCTTTAACTACAATGTTTCTATATTATCAGCTCTCAATGACAGTAGTTCTTTAGGATTTGATATGGAACATTTACATATAGTGCAAAATAACAATTTAATCTCTATATTCTTAAATATAGACAGAGTTAATTCTATAAATGTTCCGTTAAGAGTCTCTTTGAAAATATTATAATTTGAAATTTCTATCTTTACTTAAAAGAATTTCAAAATTATTATCAGCAACTCATCTCAACATTACTCCTCTTCCAACAGCTAGGCTTCTACTTTAATATGTTTATAAGATTTAAATGATCAATTCTATTGTTATCAATTGTAATGTATTATGATTTGTCTATTTTTCTCAAACAGATTTCGAAACAAGTGATTTAATATTCTATATTTGAATAAATATAATTTCGAGAGACTGATGAGCTTTTACATCATTTTTTTTGAAACTTCACACTCAATGTACTAAAACATTCTAATTTAACCTTTTAAATCATGCAGTGTAAAACTTAAAACAACATATGTCTTATTGGTCTGGTTTTGCGGCGTTATCAACACATGAAATTGAACTACAAGGTCAATACATGTAAGAGCCACAATTACTATTCATTGCTTCGAATAACTTGAACAGACCACTTAAATTATATGTCAAATGTTATTTTCATGTTTTAATTCCATTAAACCAATATACTTCCACCAATTCTATGACCGAACCAGTTTCTGTAAAATCCATTAATGAAGTCATCATTTTTCTATAACTCTTGATAAATTATAATTCTACTATGAGTCTCACTATTCATCTCTTTAGTTGCCAAACATTTTTCTAGTGTAAAAAATTACGAGGCATATCTGCTCACTAATATATTTAATAGTTATTTTAATATTCATTTAATATTTTCTCTATACTTTACCCGAATAGTGTAAAATTCTTCTCCTTAGTATTATGGCCATAATGAGTGATGTTGGATAATGACCGTTCTAGATGCAAGAGAGTTCATTTATTCGCAATTTATCATTTTCAGGCAAACATTATAAAGAAATAACCCATGCTTTCTTTATATGCATAAATCCTATGTGGGTAGATCTTGCGAACACAAATAAACTGGAGCTATAGAGCCTCCATACTAACCACAAGTGACTCCCATACTGAAGTCGCCCAACATAGACTCACATAGGAATAACACAAATCGCAAATGTGTGCATAAAATTAATGAAATTTATATATTTATTACTCATAATAATGAGTCAAATCTCAAAACCTGGTAATTAACTCTTATTTATTAACCCAACTATTGAGAACATCCGATTGGTTTACATACATTCATACTTTTCCTCGGGAAGATCAATTTTGGACACGAATACATCTCTAGAATTGTCGTTAAGAGGCACGACTTGGGGCCTAGCCAGAGGCCATGGGATTGGTAACACAGGCAACCATTGAAGTCCTTAAATTTAGTGTGGACTGCGAAGCAATTCCCCATTAATTCTATACACTCACGCAACCAATAATCATTCAACTTGCGACCTTACAATTCATAATGATCGGCATCATATTCTTTATGCTGGGAATCTATCAATGAATCCATATCGATGAGGATCCAATTCGATTTCTCAAAAATACCTCCAGAAAAGATATTACTATAATTACCCGATCTTATTCAAATGTCCAGCCGGTCTAGTAGTAGCCTCCATATATACTTCGGTGTACAAAGTACACTGTCTGAATTATTACGTTTACGCGACACCGGTTCATCTATGCCACGATTAATTATCGAGATCCCATAGGTTGTTGTCTGTGCCAGAATTTCAAAACTCCAAGTACATAGTGAGTGCTTGATTGTGCTCAGAAGAGATTATAAAACTTAAATTTATATGGCAGCACTCAGACTTTTTGACAAAAGAGAGCACTCAAAATATAAAACCCTTCCTTATGCTATATGTGTATATCGCTCGTAATAATATATTACGATCCTTACAGAACCCCGCCTTTTAGAGCCTTTAGCTTTGCCTATAATTCAATAACATCTCTTTGGTCTAGGCGCTCATCAAGAGGGTGTGTACAGCTTTTAGTTCTGTTCCCATAGACGAGAGCGCATTTTTTAGGTGGAGAACGTTTAATCAAGTGTATATCCAATGCTTCGAATGTTCTCCATGTACATGTTTCTTGATTGAACTTAGCGCTCACCATAGAGAGATAAGCAAAATGACCCTACCTTTTCTATGCAACCGCTGTATTTTGTAATGCTCCTACGGTCTTTCCTTCCCTTTTTCTGTTTTTTTATTATATACTTTAGTACAATCAATTGAGTCATTGAGGTTGGATTTCATATAATTTATTATTTTAGAGCTGTGACAATCTTTAAGTCAATGAAATCTATACTTGTCAAGGAAAATATTTCTAAAGTTTCATAGGGAGCTGAAGGATTATTAAAAAATATATCACGAAAAAGTGCAGTGATGAAAGAAGAATGTGAAGGGATGAGCTATGTGTTTGAGTGGTGCAAACGTTTAGCATCCCGAATAGAGACAAGAGTAAATAAGAATAAAAATTTAAAAAAAAAAAAAGATGGTTGTGTGCATATCCAAAAAAGTTTTAAGATTAAGGAAAAAAATTTTTGAGATTAGACACAAACGATATAAATATAAGGCAGACAGATCTAATTATATGTGCGTATCAGTTTTATGAATTAATAGCGTCTTAGAACTATCCTAAGGGTAGGTATATCGAAATAGATAATCCTCTTATATGTGTAGTAGAAAACCAAGGGGAGGAATCTTTTTACTTTACTTTTGCGCAACTCATCAGAAAATTTCGATAGCCTCTTTTAACTCGTTTTAGATATTATTGCTCGTTAAAAATATATCCAAACAAAAGCCAAAACAAATATAATACCACCGCACCGACCACCACGTATCCATTAAATTGAGAGACTTGTTTTTTTAAAAAAAGTATAAACTATGCATTTTTACTATTCTCTCATATTATTCTATAATTTGTGTACATATATCTAAAACCAAATTTTTCAACACTTTTTTTCACCTCAGTATATTTTATAAATATGAATATAGTATCAATTCCCTTATAAGGGCGAAAGTTTTTTGTCCCTCATAGTTTTTATTATTAACATAACAATATTTTTATTATAATTACATATGTCACAACAGGTATTAAAACTTAAACTTTTCTTTAAGTTTTCTTATTTTTTTTCTTTTGTTGTTTGTGAAACATAAATATCGTTTATTGCACTCTCTTCCTATAATATTGACAAAAAGCTAAATCAATCTTAGGGCATCTGGACTTCTAAAAATTTTTGTGATGCGGTTTTTTAGGCTCGGTTGTATTTGTTTTAGTCTCGAAGGTGGTAAAGACTATTACAGCTATATTTGGGTGAAATCCTGTTTAACAAAAGATAAAGCGTTGCATAGAGAACCGTCTTTTTGGATGGATCGGGGTGCGCAGAACCGTTTGGAACGGCGCCATTGTACACAAAAAATGCAAAGTGATTTGTTTCTTTTTCTTTTTATTTTATATTTTTTCTATATATATTTTTAACGCTTTTCTTCCACGCTCTCGCAATTAATTTATATACTTCGTACTAAAATTTGTCTGGAAGTTATATTCCTGATTTACCCAAAAATTTATTTATATTTTATTAATTTTAAAAAATTAAAAGTGTGATTACTTAACTATGTGTTCTAACCCTCATGAGTGTATACATCATATATTAAGCAAGGCCCTACGTAATAGATCTCAAAGTCCTATTGAGAAAAGAAATAAATTCAGGGTCTCGTTTAGAAAGGGGCGTAGCCAGACAAGTGTCTCGTTGTGTGCGCTAGGTAAGGGATTAAGGTACGTACAGTGGACAACCTTAGAGGTGGTTGGAAAGCCGTGAATGCAAGGTCATGCACTTTGGAGATGGGCATAGAAATTTTGATGAATGATGAAGCAGTTATAAGTGATTCAGTTTGACACGCCCGGGAAAACTGGCCTCTTTTTAACCTACGATTTCTAAATATTGGAATTTTTCTTATTTGTGTTAGGATTACAAAGGCCTAGCCTAATCTTCTATAATTTCACAATGCCCCAAAATGTAACTTCGTCGGATAAATGATTGTAAGTTCAAACAGAAAAATCGAATCTAAACGCAAGCGTACCCTATAGAGTATCAGGAATTTTGAATTTGTATTGCGGCTTGATGAGATTCTGGGAGTCTCACCTCCACATCACAACGATTTATAAAACTGTGTCACAAAATAATACCTCTTTCTGTCATTTTCTACCATTTTTTTCGAAGTAAATAGTCTTGAAGTCCATCACAATGCAGCAAATGTCCATTTTATAACAATCGCTGTCGGCATTTAACGAGTTGTCCTAATAATAACTTCATTCTCAAATTAGAATCATACGAGAACCCACTGCGCTGGGTTTGCTCTTATATTGGTTAATAGATAGTTCAGATTGAAGGCACTTACATAAATAAACGCGAGAAATTTTTTAAGCTCAATTATAAATTAAAATATTGTGTAATAACAATAAATATTATATATTCATAATTGAATCTAGGAATATTGAATATTATGCGACAAATCAGTCAAAATAATAGTGAGGATATGTTAGGGAGGATTGACTTGAAATTAATTTAGTGATTTATTAAAATTTTACGAAATTTTTTACTCCATTTATACCGAATATGTGATCTCATTTT